AACGGGCAAAAGGAGATACTTCTCTATGTCGGGTGGATATAAGGCCCTCATTGCTCTGCTTTCATTACTAGGAGGCATTCTGTCCCATGCATGAGGTCTCTAAAGGTTTACCCACACGCAGCAAACTTTCAAGCTAACTTTCAAGTCAATAATTGGCAGCTGCCCAAGGTCACCTAGGAGCTCTCTGGAACCAAGAGAAAAGAGGTGGCCCCACAGGGTGACCTGCCGGCCCAGGGGAGGTGGCAATGCTGGGCACAACACTGTGCCCTAAGGACACTCCAGGCCCTCGGTGGGGAGGGAGCCTTTACCTTGGGCACGACACGGGTTTTGGGTGGCTAAAGCCAGGCGAGGCCTCCGGGCCCCACGCGCTGCCCGCAGCAAACGCAGCCGGGACCCAAGGCAGCCCCTCTGCTCGTGCCCTATGTTTTGTGCTCACGGTCCCTACATTTAATCCTTCGCTTTCCAGGTGACTTCTTCAAAGGTTAGAAGGTATTTAACGCTCTTACTGTAATCCTTTGTTGGTCATAAATATTGGCAAGACACCAAAATTATGGAGGAAGAGATAGTGGATGGCCAAAAGAGACTTTTTTTTGGGGTGATGTGAACTTTATAGCGTGCTGTCCCTGTTAAAAGCTTTAAGAGTGTTTCAGCATAAAGGCTGCTACGTTTAGGATTTCCTGCCTCATTCTCACGTACTAGGGATGATGGAGCACTCTCAGATCTACCCAGGCAAACATGTTTTCTTTAAATACAAGATTGAACCATTTCCTTTGCCAACTTAAACTAATCTGCAATTACCTAATGGCAATTCAGACATATCTCTTCCTCTACAAAAAGCCTTGATTCAACAGGTTGCAGTTCTGGGAATCCCTCCGAAATTCTGAGAATTGTTCGTCCTGCCCAAACTGCCCAAACTCGCAGTGCCAACCTCGGCAGTGCTGCTCCGAATGCAGCTTTACCACTCACCCCATCTGCTGCTCTGGAAGCAGTAAATGGAGGGATCAGAAAGTTTTGTACCAGGCCGAGGCTTTGCTCTGTGGACTGATTTTTGGCAATTGGCAAAATAAATACACTATTTTTATATATATATAAGTATAAAAATATATTATAGGTCATATATGTTTATAGTACGTATGTAGGGCATGCATATAAACCCAGCAGCAAATGGAACATTTCATAAATAGCCTGCCAGAAAACTAGAAGATACGAGCAGTTAACAAGGGAAGCCAGAAGAACTGTCAGCAAATGCCCTTCAGTGGACAGCAAGGCAAATCAGTGCATTGGAAAGCAAAGACTTGACCAGCATCTGTCTTTTATCTGCGCTAGCCACCTTTGGGAACATCAGACTAACTAAACGATTTTGTACGCAGTGCGTGAAGCCCCGTTTATGGCATGGCTAAGAGCAGAGGCAGCCTCCACACGGCCCGTTTGTTGGGATATTCCAGCGTTTGCTGGAATACGGCCGGAGGCTGAGCCTGCTCCGGCAGGGTCCCGTGTGTGCCGGGCACGGCCGGGGAAGGGCTCCCGGTGGCAGCTCCCACCTATCCCGCACCTTGGTGTCAGCCCACCCGTTCCAGCCGCTCGGGAATTCCATTTCCTCCCTTTCCCAACAGCTCCCTCCTCCACAGTGATCCCAGCCGTCCTCACCGCTCCTGCAGGTGCTCCCATGCAGCCCCCCTTGCTGGGGCACAGAGCAGGGCGCTGGTTGCGGCACAGGCAGCCAGAGGACACCCCTGCGCCCCCCTCTTGCACCTCCACACACTGTGCTGGCCGGGGAGCCTTTCCCTGCTGAGCCCAATCCAACCAGCCCTACTCCAACCCCCCACAGCAGCAGGGCTCCCCAGCACCCCGGGGTGCCCCCAAGGCCTTTCTTGTTGCCTAGTGCTCTGAATAGCGGCCAACCCCCCTCACATCCCTTCATGCTCTCTCCTGCCTGCCTCTTCCCCCTCCTCCCCCAGAGGAATTTGGCAGGATGAAGCGGGACATGCAGCCAGGCTCTGGGCTTAACGAGATTGCTGGAGCAGAATGGGAAATATGCAGATGAAAGAAAGTCATAACAGGAAGTAATTTCCCTTTACTAGGGCACGAGCCTTCACGCTGCTGCCTGCGCTGGCCAGCTCCCATCTCCAGGCTATTAAAAAGCTGCTGTCCCAAAGGCAATAATTGGAATCGACTGGGAAGGCTCCCAGATAGACTGGTTTTCATCTCTACGAGGGAAAACTTTCATTTGTCCTATTTTGCTCCCCTAATAAGCCATCCTCGTGAGACAAATATACTACAATATTTGTCCACTGAGAATCAACAAATTCAGCTTCTCCACAACAGGTTTTCCTTTAGAACGGCGGAAAGGTGACCCCTGCCACTCCGGACTGATCTCATTCCATGCTAAAGTTTTAACCAGGTAGCTCAGATGCCAAAGTTTGGCATTGATGAGCACTAGTTTTTGCCAGTCTAGAAAGTCACTCCAAAATCTGCCATGGAAGCTTTCCAACAACGTCCCTCACGGTCACTAAAAGAGTAGCCCATTAGATTGTCATTATTCTCTAAAATACATCATTGCTTTTCAGAGGACTACTCGGCATTAAGACAAGCTCAGCTCCCAGGGCCGTGGCGTGGGTATCCTGCTGGCCACGGGCACGCGGCCGGCTTAGCAAGAATGGACGGGACAAAACTTGCCCATCTCAACTGTGGGAAGGGAAATGCTGCCCTCTGCGCGACTCCCGCGGAACGGCATGCTGCCAGATGGGTCAGCTTCATTAACCTTCATGTTCTGATTGCAAATGTCCTGAAAAGAGTTTCTATTGCTTAAAAAAAAGAAAAAGAAAAAAAAAAGCAGCTGCAAGTCTGACTTTTTAGGAGTCAAGTGCTGTGCACGCCAGAACTGCACATACATTTCCTTTATTTCATTTCGCGCTTCCATTTTCACATCCCAGTGCCCGGCAGCTCCGCGTTGGGCATGATGGGGGCTGGCGACGACCCTTCGCGGCCGAAATTAAAAATCCGGGGTTGTCAGCTGGGAGCCCTCAGCCTGGGACGCCCTGGTGCCCGCGGGCACACCGAGCAGCAGCAACTCCAGCGCACAAAGCCCGGGCTGAATCCAGAGCTCTAAACGCGATCCTCTTGGAGGCTGTTCTGCCTTCGTGCCACCCGGGTTGCTCCCCACAGCGCAGAGCCCAGATTTCTGTCTCGGATTGAGCAGCCCAAGCTATGGTGCTGCTCAGGGAGAGAGGCAGCGCCGGGGCGAGCGCCGCAGCCCCAGCTCTCCTGGGGGAGCCAAGAGCCCCCGGCCCGCAATAACGGGGACCCAGCAGGTTCGCACCGCTCCGGACACCGGCCTGTACTGGCATTACGCTATCAGGAAATAAGCTCAAAGGAAAGAAAAATAATAAAAAAGAAAGGTAGTTATGACAGTACAAGAACAATCTTCAGACAAAATAAAATGCCGAAGTGAAAGACTGAGTACTAGAAGGGGCCAAAGTATCATAGCAAATACTTCACAGCCATCATTCGAACTCTAAAGTAGTATTTTCTTATCATTTCCAGCCATCCATACTCCATCATTAGTCATTCTCTGAACACTAACTCCCCTGATCCCTTGGGAGATTGGGCCAAGTAAGGAATGAATACACCATGGGCATGGACGTGCACAAAGTCTTGAAAAAACCCTGTGTTTACTGAGTACAAATATCAAAGGATTCTTACGAACACGGAGGGGAGGCCCACCAGTTTTTGAAAGCAAATGACAAATGCAAAAGCACGAGCTGCAGGACCCCGGGGTATTTTCTGCTCCAGAGAAAGGAAATAACCAAGGTGAGTTAAAGAGGTGGCTGCTGACTCCTAAATCATAGTCAGCATCAGGAAGAAGCTCGTTGTCTTGCTTCAAGACAGTCTGAGGGCAAGAAAACCATTAGGAGAGCAAAAGCAGCAAGAAAACACCCCCCCGGTAACATTACGGCACTGCTAAAATCTGCTGTTACCTTCTGCCATGGATGGACTTTGCATCAGCCCTAAAGTATCTGAGTCATGTGGACATCATGCCCATTTCCTACAACTTACACATATATTTCAAGATTTAAAGCCCCGCTGTCTCAAAACCTTAACTTGGTGAGTAATGGTTTTAACATATATTTTTACATCTTAATTTGCCATAATAATGTGGCTATAAGCTGCTGTCATTCGCTCCCTCTTTCTGACCTTGGAAATACAACGTTTCATCTCCATGGGATTTTCCTGGCGAGATATTTTAAATCAGTGCATATGTACATACTTCTCTATATGTTTTTTCAATTTTCCTAAAATATTCTCATATGTGCAGACATGATGACTAGACATGTTTCAGGGGTGCTTGAAACCCGATGCAAGTGGGCAATTTAACCATGTAATTGAACAATATTACAGAAACACACGGAGTCTCCTAGCAACGAAGGGCCTTGCACATCAAGATGGCAGCCAGCAGCTTAACGCTGCGAGCGCCTGACCTGGCTTGAAAAGAAATTACGCTGAGAAATGTCCTTGCTCCTCTTGCAGCACAACCGGCCTGAGATAAATGGCTCCAGGTCTGACCTTGAAGGACTTTTCTTAGACGTGAGCACCCTAAAGAGCATCATGCAACGGCCTGGGAGGAAGGAGCCAACTCGTGACTTACCTTATTCAGGTATTTTTTAATATATATTGTGCGGAAGAGCAAAGGAAAATTGCTCTTCCTCTTTGCGTGGAAAATTTGCAATGCTTCTGGTCCCTCAAATTTCCCCCCCAAATAAAATTAAGTATCCAGACTAAAAGCAAAGTGGCCGTAGGTGTCACTCAGCTTGTGGCAACAGATTTCCATAGTGCAGGGACCTGCACAGACCCAAGGAAATGCGACACAGAGGGACGGAGCAAGAGGCTCTCCTCCCATCTTCTCCTCCTGCCTTGTTTTTGTTTGCCTCTGGCTGCGGTTTTGGGGAGGAGGGAGGTTGCAAGGTTTTCAGTCCAAGCTGGTCTTGGTTCCAGCTGAGCAGTTATCCCAGGGAGAGCACAACAGCTTCCCTGCCGTTGGTGCTGAGCGGAGGGGACGGCCCTGGTGCAGCTTTCTGGGCGTCCAGGGCTCGCTGGAGAGCTGGGCTCTCCCAGCGAGGGACAACAGCCCTTCCCAGGGAGAAAAAGGCTTCAAAGGCCATTGACTTTCCCACAGTTGGATGACAGGGCCAGAAGGGCACAACGGGGAAGAGCCCGGCCTCTTGGCAGGACGAGGAGCTGCTGGTGGCCGCGCCGCAGCCACCGTCCCCAAGGAGCTGCCGCCACCCGCGGCTCAGGGCGCTGCAACGTCCCCTGCGCCCTCGCTGCGCTCGGAGCTCCTGCAGGGCTCAGACAGTTAAACGACAACATCAGGCCCTATTCCCAGTTACATCATGACTTTGTTTTTCCATCTGAAGTAGCTAACTGTTGCTTCAAGAAAAAAAAAAAGTCAAAATTTGCCTGTTTTCTGAATGGAAGCTTTACAGCCTCGGCACAGAAACAAAACCCTCCCAGCAGGAAGGCGATGGTTTACTGGTATTCCGCTAAAATAGCGGCAGCTATTTGTGTGCAGCGTGTGTGCAGTAAATGTGGTGTGTAAAAAGGCTGCCTCGCAAACACCCTTCTCCTCGGCGCTGCCCGGACGGCTCTGGAGGCGCTGGCTGCTTTCACAGCCAAGTTTGCCACTGCTGTGGAAACCAGGCTGCACCCGCGAGCCAGCTGAAGTCATGCACGCCGAGAAGGGCGCGCGCCGCGGCTGCTGCCGCTGTGAAAACGGTATTTGGAAACCGCCTTCGCGGAGAGCTGCGTAAGGAATCAAAAAGCCACGGCAAGGATGCAGGCTCCATGCTTTTCCATTCTTAGCAATGACTAATACGAAATAAAAGTGCTCATCTCAAAATAAAGGCCTTCTGCCCCTTACAAAGGCCTAGGGGCAGGCGGGGCAGAATGGCCTTTTGTAGCCAGCCGCATAACGTCCTCTGCCACTGTACCTGAGGCCTCCTCGCACTGCATGCTCATAACCTCAACCAGCGCGGAGAGGAAACGATGCCAATGCCCTCCTCCTCCTCAGCTGCAAAGCAGGCAGGAGCTCCCTCCTGAATTCCTCAAAAAACAGTCCTGGGAAAAGGTTCACTGTTATTGCAGGCTCTGCATATAGTGAACGTGTAATCCTTGGGTACAGAATCGATGCCCCTCCCAATTTCATGGTATTTTGTGCTGTCTCTACTTGCCCCTACCCTTGACTTTTCAGTTATGGTGGAAAATTTTTCCAGGCATCTACAGGTTTGTGATTCACATGGAATTGGTTTTCTTCCTCTTTCTGAGCTATGGCCTTGTTCTAATCATATTCCTTGCCATACCAGGTTCTCCCATAGATCTGTGTGTGCTTCCTGTGGAATTTCCACATCCAAGGTCCTACTTCCACATGGAGTACAAATCTCCCTCTACCATAGCCAACCTAATATCTTCAATGCCAGCGGCTGCATTTCTGTCTTCTTTTTTAACTCCTTTTTCTGAAAGAAAGATGTTTATTTCTCAAAAAATTGCATCTTCAGTGCCATCTTACAAGACCGGATGTTAAAGACAATTAGGATGTCTCTTCCATTGACAATGTTGGTCAATGGAGCTACTTTTGACAAAATGCCCTGACAGCTGATATTTTGACAGCAATGAGCTAAAACAGATGTCAAACAGAAATTCTGCCAAATTATAGTGAAATATGTGAAACACAGATACACACTCCAGCTCAGCACAGAGGCAAAGCCACAACCTAAAGGGAAAACAAGAAGAGGCAAAACACTTGACAGCACTTGATAAACCTGGCCAAAAATGACTTTGTAATTAATCTGAGAGCACTAAGCAACATGGAAAAAAGGACACATTTATTGGAGCAAGCCATTTCTCCTGCAGATTTGTCCCTTACGTTGAACTGTGTGCTGCCTCACATGGGTTGAGTTTGCAAATGTAGTCTTCTTTTAAGGGAGACATTGGATCTCTATGCTATGTGGTTGTCTATTTTTATTAGGCTTGTAAAAACCAAGAAACCCTATCAAACACAGCTGAGATTGGCCAGTAGAATAACAGATACGTAACCTGGCTGGTTTTCTTAATCTGAAAAGAGAATGTAGAGCTGAATGCAAATTTATACACATCTGGGGTTTTCCGTAGCATTAAAAATTTTGTCTGTCATCTCATTTTTTGGTAGTGTTCACAGAAGATCCATTGAGGAATAGTTTCTGTTATTTGAACACAGGATTTTGAGTTCCGTAGCATCTTTGGGGTGCAGTTTTCAGGACTGCCATTTACATATGAGAGCAAGTCATCAGATACCGATAAAAGGCTCTAGCCAAAGTTCTGGTATCCTGATCTATGAGCTTCTATGTGACAACACGACAACAGGAGGTAGAAAGAACAGCTGAACATATCTATACTTTGTAGATCACTATCTAAAATTCTGACCTGAAAGTTCAGGAAATCTGAGTAAATCTGCTAAAGCTATTACTGGCTGCATCCTACATAATTTTCTGCTGAAATGAGATTGCTTACCTCCTGTGAGTACATGACCTTTCTCAAAATCTTGAAAATTAAGTAACCCCAGTATAAATGCAAGCCTTGAAGGATCAATAGTTGTCCATTGAATATAAAATATGCTATGACAGGAGTTGTCGAATAGAATGTAGGCTGATACAGTGTGGCACGAAGAATCCTAAAAACAAAACAAAACAAGAGGAAGGTCATTGTTACGGTGCAAGATTTCTCCTCTGAGCTATTTATAACCATTTCTAATTTCACATTCCAAACTGATTAACTATTTCCACAAAATATTAGAAAGCCCTGTATCTTAATTAACAAACCTTGGTCTAACTAGATTACACATCATGATTTAAATATAGACTTCACAGGATAAGAAATTTGAGTCTTGCATCAAAGCATTCTAAATAAGGCTAGAAAAATCCCAGGTTTTTACATCTTTAGCTGTGTGGTCTGGATATGATGCAGCTTGGAGCTTGTCTATACTGTCCTTTTCATGCAAATACTCTCTAATCTGAAATCCACACTCTAGAGAAACTCCTACAAGCTTTTGAGCCGAGCTCTTTGTTAATCACCATGTGTTTTGTCCATCTTCAGCCTTCGCTTCGATATTATTCAGGGCTTTTCTGAGCCCCTTTAATCTTATCATGTTTTGTTTCCAGACTCAAGAACTCAAGAAGAAGAAACTCAGTGAAGCAAAATGATTGGGGATCACTTGTGTAATTAATCAAAAAATAACAAGAGAGTAAAAGACATCAGCATTTCTGAAAGAGAATACTTCAGGAAATTAAAACCTTGTGTTGATCAATGTTCAGAACTATTAACTTAACCAGCTTGAGTCTCTAAGGATTTGTCCCCATGCAGGGAGGGGCACGGAGGCAAGCTAGAGCAAATCAGCAAAATGGTGAATGTGAAACACATTAAACACTTTTTGAAAGCTAAACATGTTAAGCATTAAGCACACTAAGCACCCGTGTGGATACTCCAAAGCAGATTAAATCATAGCACTCCGAAGCCATACGAGCATTTAATAAGTTCTAATTTATGTGCACTGACTTCATAGATTAACTGCTTCAACTTTTCTGAACGCTCCTCGTGTAGGTAAATGAGGCGGGTTACTACCTAGGAGCCACCAATTAGTAAAAAGAAGGCACTACAAAAAATTAAATATAATCATATAGAACTTTCACTGTAGTTTGACTTTGTAGCTACAGGAAGAGTGATGGAATGAAAAGGACAGTGATTTCATTAAGTAGCTCAGTTCTCTGTGAAATACAGCAGTACATAATGTTTAACTACAGTTTGTAAAAACAAGCTAAATAGTTAGTGAAAGCCTTTGATAAGGTAGCACAGCTTCAGAAGATTCTTTTTTTAAAACATTTTTACTTATATTAAATTTTTACTTTAAAGAAAAATGGCAGTTTTTATCCACCCTTCTAGGTGGCCACTAAGATAAATAATAACGAAAGCTCTTCTGCTCTTTAAATCAGTTCCTTTTCTTTTTTCATCACAACCAATAACTACCTCTCACTGGAAATGGGAATGAAATAAAAGCTTATGACTACATCAAATATTGCTTACCAGCAGGGGAACAGGATGATTCTTGTGATGAAGAATGTGATAGCAAACATGATAAAGAGCGTATTGCAGGTTTTCTCCCAGTGAGCATAATTAAACATTTTGGCTGCCTGTATTAAATACAAACCATCAAATGTATTACAAATATTCTGTGAAATAATCCCCTTTCCAGTATTTTCATAAACAAGAAGTCATCTTCCACCTAAGCAGGAAGAAAATGTCCTCCCTGTTTGACATGTAGAGCAATCATTTTACTCATAGCTAATAAAACAGTATCAAAATAGATTCCTTGTTTATATTTCTCCTTTCATCTTATACGAAAGGACAGTATCAAAGACCTAAAGAACAGCTCTCCGAGCAGAGTGCCAGAGTGCTATGGAAACACAAAGTGCTCTTGGAGACAGAGGTCCATCCCTCTATCTGGTAGCACATTGGGAAGTGGCTCCCGGCCACATCCAGCAGCCCTGGAGCTGCCGTGGCCCATTGCAGCTGGACTCGCAGCTCGATGCCACAGGGCCTCCTACAACCACTGCCTCCTCTCCCTGGGCACTGCAGGCCCCTGTCCAGGTCTCCATCCCACTGGGAAAGACCCTAATTACTGCTTCCTTCCAGCTGAAACATGCAATTCCCCTGCTCCATTGAGGAATTACCCTGGCCAGCATGGGATCAGGCAGCTTTCTCAAGGGTGAATCTGTCAGCAAAATAAGATGATTTTTAATCTTAAAGCATTTCTTAACTGATATTTAGTGTAAGGATGGAGAAGACAGGAGAAACTTTTCCTCTGTCAGTGCCTGCATTCAGACACAGTTACAGTGTCTCCAGTCAGCACTATGTGATGCAGCTATATCCTTGGACCAACACAGCTGTATGAATGCTGACAAAATTAGGACAGTTTGAAGAAGCAGCCAAACTTTTGGTTGCTAAATTTCCTTGAGAATTAGTATCACGATAAGCTGTTGACAGGCTAGCCAACTCAAGCTAGTGAAACACAGATAGTCCAGAGAGGCAGAAGTATTTCTAGTCCCCAGTTTGCACTACAGGACTTCTGTTAGCTCCTTTTTTAATGACCAATTCTATAATGCAATACCAGTCTAACGTATCTACATGCTCTTTCTTATCTCACAGTTTATGACTGTGTGAAGCTGCATCTCTGTGGGGTCAGAGAGGGAATTTATTGGACTTAGGGAAAAGAGATTAAAGCAACACTAAATATAACCTGGGTAGTAATAAATAAATAAATAAATATTATTAAAAACAAAAGATAAGGGGCAGGGTTACCTCAAGCCAGAAATCTGCGGTATCGTGCAGAAAAATCACGAGCGTCCCAATACGCAGATAATTGCCACACCAGGAGAAACTCATTAACCCAATGGCTGCAAAGTGATGAATGATGTGAGCCAGAAAATCCTGCGAAGAAGAGAAGGAAAGAGGTAAAACGAAGCAATGACAGACCCTGAGGGTGTCCCTAGGGTGCAGTGACCAGCAAGGCTTCTCCTGCTCAGCCCAGCACGGGGAAGGTGGCCTGGCAGCCAGGGGTGCACATATGTGTGCAGCGGTGCCAGGATGGGCTGATGCTGCCCTCAAGTGGCTGCAGCAAATCCGGTGTCAGGACAGGAGTTATTCCTATAAAACTTCAGTTTGGGAGTGGTTTTTATTATTATTATTATTATTTCTCCTTAGAAACAGAGATTCTAGCCACTATCAAGCATGCCCACTTGCCTTCCTTCTGTTGTCGATCCCAAGCGTGAATAAGAGAGACAAGTAAAAACTGATCTCAGCCATATAGTACCAATACTGGGATGGCAGCATAGTCTGCAAAGAAGAAAAACACAGCTGACACAGAGAATAGCACAAGGTGAATGCCAAATGAAACTACTTATTTTTTCCTTCTCTCTCTCTTTTTTTTCCTCTGCTCCTCTGCTGAGTCTTGTTTAAAAAAATTAAGCTAACTAAATCCATGTTCTGGGCTTCATTAAGGAGGATGTTCCAAGAGCCAAATATTTTAACCTTTACTCAGACCAAACTCTCAGTTTCTGCAGTTCCTCTCCCACCTCCAAATTTCACATGCCTTTTTTCAGCGAGCTCCACACACGATGCCTCTGCATTTAATTACAACAACCGCAAATAAACGAAGCCCTTCATTTCAATGAATAATTAGCATTTTAAGCATTCACGCACCTCATTACTAGGATGTCACTCCTTACACTAAAATCCTATGGATCTGCTGAGGGAACAAGAGGGCTAGAGGCTGCATTAACATGAGCTCGGCTGCCCACCTGGTTCTATACTGTGCCAAGGCGGCAGTGGGTAGCTCTAGTTATCAGCTCCCACAAGAGGAGCTGGGAGAGAAAAAGCTGGAAGGCAAGATTTGTTTTTTTTGGCTCCTGCCTAGGAAAGGAGTAAGGAGAAGGTGGTGTGATGGGATGCAGATCGGTAAGAGCAGGAGGGAAGCTAAAAGGGGACACAAAATCTGCACCTGGAGAGAGAAGGCAGTTTGCTTGGAGGGGCTTTTGCACTGGAACCCGTATCGCACATAGCAAGTGCTGTGGGCACCTGGATCTGGGATGGGGGCTGCCCGCAGCAGAGCAGGGCCGTGGCGACGTCCTGCAGCAGCCGGCGGGAGGCACCGCGGGTGGCCCCGCTTTGGCACTGCACCTCCTGAGGTGGCACCCGCCGCAAGGGAGAAGCGCCTCTTGGATCGTCCCTTTCAACCGGGAAAGACCAGGAACGCCAGAGAGCTCACCTGAAACGGATAGCCAACCCACGTCAGCCATATGTCGTAAAACCACGGTTTCTGGGGGAAGACAGACGAGTCAGACACCGGCCAGCTGAGCAACAGTAAGTCATCTTAACTCAGAATCCTCAATACTCAAAAATTTGCTAACTGAAGCAGGCTGAAAGGTTATATTCTCAATAACTTTTTCTCCACCAGTTTCTCTGGGCATCTTACAGCTCGGATTTATTATATCGGTCCCAGCTTTCTGGCTTCTTTTCAGGACACCTGAAGCGTTCCAGTTCATCATTTCATCATCCGAAACAGTGGGCGTGTGTCTTATTACTGTAATTACTCAAGATACGTTGCCACAGCAATCAGATTGCATGGTGTTTACCAGCCCTGCACGCCCCTGCTTCGGCGGATGAGCAGCGCTTGGAGAAGAGCCCCAGGAACACGGACGTGCTCCGAGTCGCTCGGGAGCCCTGGGGACACCCCCGGACACCGGGAGCTCTCGCTCGCGGCTGCTGAGTCAGAAGTTGGGAGAAACTCCTCAAGAGGGAGGTGCAAAACACACTGCTGCTGGGACCACAAAAAGAGCTGCCAGAAAAGTCTCGTAAAAATAATAAAATAACAACAGAAAGCCCACAGCCCGCCCTGCACAGTGCAATGCATAGGTGTTAATAAGGCACGTTGTAAAACTGTCCCTGCGACTTCCTACAGCCTTCTTAAAAATGCTGATTGCTCACAAATTATTTTTTATCACAGAGGTTTAAGAGAAAATTAAAAAAAAAATCAAGCAAAACCTAAATGCAAACGACAGGCTATCATATAGACTGACACTTGGAGATTTGAATCCAAGAGCCACTGATGCTACTAAGTCTTTCAATGGACCTGAAATAGTTCTAGAACTTACATCATATAGACATATAAGTCCAGCAATGGATGTTCCAAGATAAAATGAAAATCGCCAGCTGCAAAATTAAAAAAGAAAAGAATAAGCACATTATTTCTTCTTTATAAGTATCCCCCTAAGCCAGAACTACAGCAAATCATTGTATATCACATTAACATGTTCTCACATTCTGTATTATGTGTAGTTATCTGTTAACTTTATCTGTATTATTAATATCTAAACACTTCTATTTTGACTAATTGCCAAAAAAAAAAAGTACATAATTCTATGTTATTACAGTAGGGATATCTTGGTTGTATTTTTTCCAGTAAACTTTGAGCCATAAAATGAGCTGATCGAGAGAACAGCCATAGCAAATGTAGATCTGGTGTTCAGGGAATTTATTAGTGTTTGATAGCACCAACCTTCCCTGCTGCAGGAATCTTTTTCAGCTATTCAAGAACATCTCCCAGCTCCAGAAGACCTTCCAGCCGGGTGGTTCATGCTTTCAAATCCCAACACCTCTGATGAGCACTGCAAGCACTAGCATCAACTTGCTTTAATTGCCGAGTTAATTTCTCTTGATTTCTCTTAATACCCGTTGTTAAAAACAGGGGAGCCCTCTGAAACTTTCACGATGACCATGGGCTGAGTTTATGTGTTACTAGAGCTCTGAATTAGCAGTAAGCCTCAACATTTGACCGGGCTGGGCAGCATTTGGGTAAGTCCGATCTTAGCTTTTTGGAGTTTAAATGAATATCCTTCAAGGTGGATAAAACTCTGAAGTTTTCATTACTGGTCTGGTAATGGGGGAAAAACAAAAACAAAAAAAACAAAAAAGAAAGGGAAAAAAAAAGTTCCTGTATATCTTAGAAACCAAAGCGACGTGGTTACTTGTAGATGTCAGAGGATGCTGTGATTTGGAGCCAGCAATCAGCATTGTGAGGACGCTGGAGTCAGCGTGGGAGGAACTGTCCTCGGGACTGGGTGCGGCCGGGACTGCCGGAGCCTTCCCAAGCCTTCCTCCGCAGGTGAGGAAGACTCCTGCCTTTCCACCCCTCTGCTTGGCAGCCACGAGCCCAACCTTTCCCAGGGCGGCTCTCCAGGATCAGGAGGAAATCGCTGCCCTCCTGCACGTGCTGATGGTGGAGGGACTTGCACGACCCTGGAGCCCCTGGGACGGCCTTGGAGGAGGAGAGGTCCCAAAAGGCAGCGAAGCACCTCCGGGAAAACCCGTTTGCTAAAAAGGGGGAGAGCAAGTCTTCGCAAGGACACCACTTTAGCTAGTACTAATGGGCTGGGAGATGCATAAAAATGATGATTATGGTGTTTGGCAAACGTTAATGAAGTGCTGTTGGAGAGGACAAGATGAGAGTCTGTCTGGTGAGGGCAGCTCCACCTTCCCGAGCCCTGCACTCCCTGCAGGCGAGTGTCCCAGGCCAAAGAAAGGGATGTGCAAAGAGGCAGCTTGCATTTTAAAGGGAAAACAAACAAGCAAAGAATGAGGACGTGGAATGGCAGAGGCTAGACAAGGAAATGTGTTTTATGCCTGCGGTGGAAACCAGGAAAATTATTAAATTGCCAGTAGATAAAATAGTAATAAACTATCATTATACCTGAAGGTATCTTTCCTTGGATCATATGAAAACAAACCATTCATAACACCTTGGTGCAGACAGAAAATTTTAAAGGTGCCCGGCAAAAATTAGCAGAGCAAATGGAAGGGAAGGGTGGAACCAGCAAGCAGTGCCTGGCTCAGGGTTCACCAAGGACACAGGAAAATAATGCCCTAGCCGTGGGACTGCCTCTGTGCGGGGTGATTTGGCCTCACGTGTGCTCAAATTTGGGGTAGGGCAGGTACAAGCAGTCTAGGGGACACAATGGGACCAATCCTGAGTTCAGTGCTAAGCTTTTGCTTAAGGGGTTTCCAGAGAAGATCCAAAGCACAGAGCACCTTACAGGACTGGAACATTAGTCCCCAGCCCCACAAAGATAATATTGCCCGAGCTTAGCATTAAACGCCTGGTGCTTAATTTGCTTCAGATGAACCCATGACACATGCAAGCTTGCCACAGCACTATCTCATTTTGCATTTAGCCAAGGTTCTTTATGAATTTGGTGAACAAAACTGAAGAAAAGTTCATCCAAATTCACCAAATTTTACCTGGCAAATGGCTTTTTATCTCAAAATGTGTCCACTAGGGAGGGTGCTGAACAACTCTGTAAAAGGATTCTTCTGATTTAGTTTCAGGAATCTTTTCTAATAAACTGAGGCTAACAAACAGCATCTAGTGGATGAAGCTAATGGCTGGTAAGTCCTCTAAGGCAGGGAAGGTTTCATGCAAATGACTTTCCAAACCCCAATGTTGCTTAACTGAGAGCAGTAATAGCTTAAGTATGCTTTAGATCTGGCTCATCAGATTCTCTTGTGATTCAGAAAAGTGATGTTGGAGATTCCAGGCTTTCAAAATGTCCTAATACTCATAACATTGACTATTAAGGTGGAATAATTCTGTTCCTCATTTATTGCCTTGAAAATTATATCCAATTAAACTCCCTGACAAAGAGCAGAGCAAGGTTCACAAATTGCACAAGAGAAACCTGTTGGCTTCTTTCTCACTCAGGCCACCAAGCTAGTTTTAATGTCAGTCTTTGCCACGTATGACTGCAGCCACACATCCCTGGCAGGCAGGTCATGTTTAGGTAGCAGGAAATCTTATTGCTGCTTGCAAAACAAGGTTAACTGATCCACAAAACAACAACAACCTCCCCCATGGATGTCAGTTTGCCAACAGGGTTCACTCAACTCGCTCAGGCTTCAGCGTGTCACAGCTACAGCTGTTGACTGGATTTATGCCCAACTGAGGACATCACAAAATCATTGCTGTATTGATTCACACTGAGAATAACCTTGATGAAGCACTCAGCTTGGAGCTTTGTGGCTGTACTTTTAACCCTCTTTCCTGTGCTTAAAATAACCCATTCTAAAAGAGGTAAAGTATTATAACCAGGTGAATTTTTGCCAATATAGTTATATTAGTCAAAACCCAAATACACAGGACATTATGAAGTGTTATGTTAAAAGCTTTTACCAGTAAAATCCTGTCCGGTTAAGAACTTGGAGTTTCTACATTTTAGATAATGTTGGAATAGTTAAATAGTAAAATAAATAAATAAATAAATAAAAATAAAAATCAGACTCTTGAATGTTTTTCTGGTTTTTGATTATATGTGGGAGGTTTTGAAACACTTTTAATATGCATTATAATCAATGGCCTTTTCATGTTAGCATATTTGAGTATGTCCCATATGGATACGTAGTGCCCAAGCTGGGCCCTCCACCATCCAGTCAGGATGCCTTGATTTCTGCTCTTGAACCAACTCCTGCATACACAAGAGCAGCCCGAGATGACAGCATGGATGACATAATTGAACAAGGGTGAACACGCATTTTTCTTCCTCTACAGTTCTTGGCACGTGTTTTCCTGTGCTCTGCATATTTTCATTAAGTGCTGCACGGCACGATCATATGAATAAATCCACTACTGCACAGCAAAGAAAACAGTAAAGCATTTTGGAGAGGTTTTTTTTCCATCTTTAAGAAAGAGGAGAAACTGTTAACCTAGTACTTGAAGTCACTGCATTAATGAAACATTAGCAGATCATTTCAAAAAGCTTGTGCATGCACAAAATGAAAATCCCAGTTGGATAGGCCAAGCTTTGTGGAATTGAGCCCCGGCTTATGCCAGGCACTTAAGGACCTCGATCGTTTCTTTTCAAAACTAACAAACCCACAAACAAGAAAGAAGCTTCCTCCTCTTACAAAGCCTCCCGGAATTTCCGAAGCACTGTTGGGATCTCGAGGTTTCGCCGCCTCCTGAACCACTTTTCCACAAAATGGACTGTACAATTACACTTCTTGGCCAGACCTTGAATCTCTGACTAAAAAAAAGTAAGAAAGGAATAATGTTAGCAACAGCATCTACCCAGACCTCATCTTCATTTATCTTGCATGTCATAGATTGGCTTCACACTGTTCTGAGGTCTGCATCTTAAAATATTACTAACATTAACTCTCTGTGAGGGTTTACCTTGCTGGCTTCCTGCTTTGGTTTTCAAGTGATATTCACAGAAGTCATGGATTTTCATGGCACAAATTAATTTTGATAAATAGAGCTTGAAATGTACAGGCCTAAAGACTGCTATTTTCTTTCCGGTGACCTCTGATCATTTCAAGGATGAAACTTTTACTGCTAAGCAAGAGATTTAGCTGGGGAGGATTTTGTGAAGTGCCACATATAACACATTGGTATTGTGTAATGTCTTACCTAATTTAAATTAATTATTAAATTATATTTAAATTAGTATTGCAGGTGAGACACTAGCGTAGAAGCAAGGTAGGAGCTACTGTGTGATAGGGAGAAGTGCCACCAGGCATCACCCCGCTGTCCTCACAGAAGGAGGGACACAAAACAAGCGGGACCCTTGGCCAGGAGAGAGGAGCTCGCTCGGGGACACGAGTCCATCTCCTCCTGACCACGTCAGGCCCAAGTCACAGCAGGAGCGTGGCAGGGGGAGAGGCAGAAAGCAGAAGTCCCAGGCAATAACCCTCATTATTAGAAAACACATATTTCTTCCCCAAAATTGTGTAGGAATGCTGCAATTGCTTGGTATTTCCAGTTACTTAGGAGAATTTTTCGAGCGTGTTCATCGCACGGTATCTGTTTCCCATCAACAATCAGGTTGCTTCATTTTCTTAGATGGTAAATGTTAATTTTTTTTTTTTGGTTCAAATTTAGAAATCAACAGCAAGGTAATGGAAAGATTGTTTGCTTTGCTCTCTTATATAAGCCAGGATTAAGTATGCAGCAGCATAACAGATCAGAAGGCCTCCATTCCAGTGTGCCAATATTATTGCTTGCAAGAAATATGGTATCAGTTTCCAACAACAGATGTCAGCTGATGTTTTCCCCAGGCAGAATGAGTTATAGATGGAGCACTGATCTTCATTGGAAATAGTATTAACAGTATAACCTAGAACAGCGTGCCAGAAAATTAAACATCTTAAAAATATACATTTTCTATTTTGGATGCCATATACCATGTCAGCAGGACAGCAACATAAACCCAAATAAATTAAGTTATCTGTCAATCAGCTGGAACTCATCCCATGGCGTCATTGCTGATAGCTGATTGAAACAGTAATATCTGGGATTTTCCAAATCCAGAACTACTTCAAAAGAATGAAGATCCTTACTTGGGATGGATGTTTTGTGCACTCCCGGAAATAACTCTCTAAAACAGGATTAGGCTGTGGCTTCACACGTCTTATGTTCTTTATACCTAAGGCTTTTGCTAGAGGTACAGCAATAAATCTGAAAAGACACAGGAGGAAATTTTTTTTTAAAATGCATCACAGTTACAAATCTTAACTATTCTCATGCCAGGAGATGAAGAAAATAAATCTGAAATATTTCTATCTGCCTTAGGACATGTAGATATGTATGTGCACTGTGATAGAAAGCCACTCTCCTCTAGCTAGTCCCCACCAGGAACCGCAGCATCTTGGCAGTTTTGCAAAAAGCAAACTCAAGGCCTTAAATGTGTGTCCTAAAATGCTGTGAAACAAAAGAATCAAGCCCTTTTTCTACGCCCTTGTAGTTCTCAGAGGCAGATTGTACGTAGGCAATGGCTTAAGGAGGGCGACATAAGAAGAGCTGCTCCCTCCCCGTGGCTGCAGGACGGACACCAGGTACCTCCTCCCAGCAGCAGAGTCCTCGCTGCTGCACAGGGTCCTGCCGCAGGCCCAGCCTCCTCCGAGGCTCTCGTCTCTCTGCCCCTTCTGCCTCCGAGAGCCACAGAGCAGCCTAGGAGCTGCCTCTTGGACAGCCTTTCCTGAAGAAGCCGCCTCTTTCCCGCCGATATCTGCGATGGATCCCTCATTACTCCGAGCAGCGGTCACTTTTCCTCATTCAATTTTGTTTTCCTCGTCCACTTTCTTTGCTGATGGGCTAATCACACGCAGCGGCCATCTCCAACAGCAGTGCAGGAGACACTGCTGGACAGACACTTCTTTGGGAACCACATTGCGAGGCTGCGAGCACACGACCCAGGCTACTTCTGATCACGAAGGATCCTATCTGGCGCTCTCTTGGCTGTGTCTAACTTAAGACATTCCAAATTTCCTCATTCTACCCTGAAATAATTATCAGAACACACTAACCACATTCCATAGAGCAGAAAAAAAATACTCAAGCAATAATAAACAAATGAATAAGTCAAAGCACTGAAAAACTTCATGTGTGCACAGCTTTCTTCTGTGGAGCCGACCTCTGCCTGTCCCTCAAGACTCCAGCTGCGGAAGCGAAGCAATCCATCTTTCAGTGCCAAACAGAGAACAGGAATTGGAATTGCTAGAGCTGCCTAAAACCTCCACATGGAATGTGGAGATCCCGCCAGCATGCTGCGATTTGTGACAGTCACACACCTGGGATTTATCAGCCTCACACAAGGGTTCTGGAAGAGCATCTACGGAAAGAAGTTCATCTTGGAGGATAAATAACCTTACCCTTTCACCAACAGAGCAAAGCAAAAGGAAACCAGGTGTTTTGGGAAGATTTAGATAAAAACAGAGAATTAGAAGTATCAAAATGTTGGTCCAAAAAAACCTTGATAGAAATTTTTGCCTTGCAGACTGGCCCACAGCCACATGATCCTAATAAAGAAAACACTTCCTAATTTTTCCACCCACCACATTATCAGTACTAGATCTTTTTAGCTAACTCCCAGCTAATCCTTCTTTATGGAAACATCTGACTACTGATTTAAAGATGCTTTGATATTCAAATATTTTTAGCATTAATGAGAATTAACAGTAGCATAAAATTGCATGCGTCTTTCTTACCTTTCAGCGAGGAATCGAATAATCAGCAGCACAAAAGCATACGGTATCGTGGCATATAAATGATGTGGTCTTGGAAAGACAAGGCCCTCACGGTCTACAAAATGCGCCCAAGAGCAATTGATAGGCATCCAGATATTCTCCCACCAGAACCAGCTGTTGAGTGTCTTTAATACGTGTGCCATGCTAAGCAAATAGAAAAACAATTGAAAATTATTCCTGTCATATTACAAAGAAAACGTATGCACTAAAATACATTGAATCCTGTTATGTATAACAGTGGTTCTGAGCTGGCAAGACATTTCCTACAGATAAGGTACAACCAAATTACAAAATTTTAAGGCTTTGGTCCCCAAAGAATAAGCTGTCCAGGCACGTGCGGGTGGTGTTGGTATCACAGGCCTGACAGGGGCATTGCAGCCACTGCAGCCCTGTCAGATAAACTGCACCGGCTGTAGAGGAGGGATGTCCTAGTGTCTCCACAGTTAATCCACGTGAAGCCGAGCAGCCCTGGCCACGTAGCTCAGGAACAAGGAACGAGCAACAGCGGCCGCCCAGAGAGCCCATGGAGGAGCGGAGTTGTCGGCTGGCTCCACAAGGGCCCGGGCGCCGGAGGTCGGAAACCCCTCACAGCGAGGGTGCAGGCAGGGCTGTAATCCCGGGAGGAGAAAATCATGGAGCTAAACCTTGCGCTGGTATAAACTGGCGCAGAGCCCCTGGAATCTGCAGCGCTGTCAGTTCACGTTGTCTGAAGTCCTTTCCTACGCAGCGTACGAGGAACCAGCCCCTTGCTGAAGGACTGTGGTCACCAGAGCTTCTTCCTTCTCGCACTTCCCAGCTTCATCTCCCAGCTCAGGAAAAACGCTAGCGGGAGACAGAGCTGGCAAGAGGCATCCAGGCTGGATGCAGCCGTTCACACTAGAGGCAGAAACTGCTCAAATCAGGAGCAGTTGATTTGGTTGAGAAGAAGATAATCAAGAGGCTTGATGTCCTCTAAGGGGTCTGTAGGTACCAGGGGCAAGGGTGGACAAGGATGAGCGGACCCCTCGCTCAGACCCAGGACAACGCACACACGATTTTGCTGCCAGTTC